TGTACGGAGAACAACCGGCCATTAGAAAAATGTTTGTCGTCGAGGAAGCGAATCTGATATCCTCGTCGTCGCCAAAATAGGGATCGGACTCAAAAGGGGAACGAGATGCCAAATAGCAATCACATACATCAATTTTAACCCAACCAGAAAATCAGAAGATCGATGAAGATGATAATCAAAGGATCCCTCTATCCTTCGTGCTTCCCGATGATTCCGAAGCTACCCAATCAACAATTGAAGAGTTGAAGCAAGTCATACTAATCGAGCATTTGCCCGAACGAAAGGTATACCTGGGAATGGGATTAACCCCTGAACTCAGGAAAAGGCTTATTCAATTTCTTATCGATAACATAGATTGTTTTGCTTAGTCCCATTTAGATATAACAGGGATCCCACCGGATATAACGACGCATTGGCTAAGCCTAGAACCTGGGTTCAAACCGATAAAGCAAAAGAGAAGACACCAATCCGAGGTAAAGCACGCATTCATAAAGGTCGAGGTAACGAAACTTCTCAGAATAGGGTCCATTCGGGAGGTGAAATATCCCGAATGGTTAGCCAATGTAGTTGTAGTCCCTAAAAAGGGAACAAACTTAGAATGTATATAGATTACAAGGATTTAAACAAGGCATGCCCCAAAGATTCTTTTCCAGTGCCTAACATCGATTGCATGATCGATGCCACGGCTGGCCATGAGATCCTTACTTTTCTCGATGCCTATTCCGGGTATAATCAAATCCAAATGAACCCGGAAGACCAGGAAAAGACTTCATTTGTCACCAAGTATGGAACATATTGTTATAATGTGATGCCCTTCGGGCTAAAAATATAGGAACTACTTACCAACTCCTAGTAAATAAAATATTCGAGGAACAAATAGGTAAATCAATGAAAGTTTATATTGATGACATGCTAGTTATTCTCTGCGCGCAGAGGACCATTTGGCTCATTTGCAGGAAACATTGGAGATTTTAAGGAAATACAACATGAAGCTCAACCCCAAGAAATGTACTTTTGGGGTCGGTTCGGGAAAGTTACTCGACTTCATGGTATCAAATCGGGGGATCGAGATTAACCCCAATAAAATCAAGGCCATCGAAGACATCGCCATCGTGGACAGTGTAAAAGTCGTGCAGAGGCTAACGGGACGGATTGCTACCTTAGGCCGATTCCTTTCAAGGTCGTCAGATCGAAGTGACAAATGTTTCTCTCTACTCAAAAAGAAGAACGATTTCGCTTGGACCTCGGAATGCCAACATGCATTAGAGGAATTAAAGTGATATCTATCGAGCCCACCACTGCTTCATACTCCAAAAACAGACGAAAAACTTTGTTTGTACTTGGCAGTATCGAAAATCACGGTAAGTGGTGTCCTAGTTCGAGAAGAGCAAGGCACGTAATTTTTCGTTTATTATGTAAGTCGAACCTTAGGAGAAATAGAAACTAGATATCCACACTTAGAAAAATTGGCACTTGCACTAATAAGTGCCTCTAGAAAGTTAAGACCGTACTTTCAATGTCACCCCATATGCGTATTGACCACTTACCCACTTCGTAATGTTTTGCACAAGCCCGAACTATCAGGCCGATTAGCCAAATGGGTCGTCGAACTCAGTGAGTACGATATCGAATATCAACCCCGTACGGCCATCAAGTCCAAATTTTAGCGGACTTCGTGGACGATTTCACGCCGACCTTTGTACCCGAAGTTGACAAAGAACTCTTATTGAAATCGGATACATCATCGGGGGTATAGACCCTTTTTACGGACGAGGCTTCGAACGTAAAAGGGTCCAGGCTAGGCATCATTTTAAAGTCGCCCACGAGTAACACCATTAGGAAATCTATCAAAACTACTAGGTTGACTAACAACGAGGCCGAGTATGAGGCCATGATTGCAGGTCTCAAGCTAGCTAAAAGCTTGGGAGCGGAAGTCATTGAAGCCAAATGTGACTCTTTACTGGTGGTAAATCAAGTAAACAAAACCTTCAAAATTTGAGAGGATAGAATGCAAAAGTATTTGGACAAACTGCATGTCAATTTTCACCATTTCAGAGAATGAACTTTACAGCATGTTCCATGAGAACAAAACAGTGAGGCCGATGCATTTGCAAATTTGGGATCATCGGTCGAGGAAGGCGAGATAAGCTCGGGGACTGTCGTTCAACTCTCGAGATCCGTGATCGAAGAAGGTCATGTCGAGATAAATTCTACAAGCTTAACCTAGGATTGGAGGAATAAGTATATTGAATACTTAAAGAATGGAAAGCTCCCATTGGACCCTAAAAATTTGAGGGCCCTACGAACCAAAGCTGCTCGATTCACATTGACTGCAGATGGACCATTATACCAAAGGACATTCGATAGACCATTGGCAGTATGCTTGGGTCCAGGAGACACTGACTACGTCCTACGTGAGGTGCACGAGGGCACTTGTGGAAATCACTCTAGTGCCGATTCTTTAGTCCGAAAAATAATCAGGGCGGGGTATTATTGGATCGATATGGACAAAGATGCAAAGGAGTTTGTTCGAAAATGTGACAAATGTCAAAGGTTTGCACCAATGATCCATCATCTCGGAGAGCAGCTTCACTCAGTCCTATCCCCATGGCCATTCATGAAATGGGAAATGGATATCGTCGGCCCTCTGTCGTCGGCCCCATGTAAGGCTAAGTTCATTTTTTTATGACTGACTATTTCTCTAAATGGGTTGAAGCACAAGCGTTCGTGAAAGTAAGAGAGAAAGAGGTTATAGACTTTATCTGAGATCATATCGTATGTCGATTCAGGATACCCGCCGAAATAGTGTGTGACAATGGGAAACAGTTTGTCGGCAGCAAAGTGACGAAATTCCTCGAAGACCACAAAATAAAAAGGATATTATCAACACCGTATCACCCTAGTGGGAACGTATATGCCAAATCAACGAACAAAACTATCATTCAAAACCTAAAGAAAAGGTTGAACGACGCTAAGGGAAAATGGAGAGAAATCCTACCCGAAGTTCTTTGGGCATATCGAACAATATCAAAATCTAGTACGGGGGCAACCCCGTTCTCCTTAGTATATGACTCTGAAGCCTTGATTCCAGTCGAAGTCGGGGAACCCAGTTCCAGGTTTCGATATACAACAGAAAAGTCAAATAACGAGGCAATGAACACTAGCCTCGAATTATCGGATGAGAAATGAGAAGCTGCTCTCGTCCAATTGGCCGTCCAAAAAGAGCGAATCGAAAGATACTATAATCGAAGAACCAAGCTTCGCCATTTTAAACTCTGGGACTTAGTGCTAAGGAAAGTCACCCTCAGTTCCTGAAATCCAAACGAAGGAAAACTAGGACCGAACTGGGAAGGACCGTATACGGTCAAAATCGATTAGTCCGTTGTATGGACTGGTCGGTATGGTGATACTTTGATCGAAAGGCGGCTTCGTAATACCGGGTCGAGGTTCGAAGTCAGGTCATCAAGCTTCAAGTTCAAGGACCGATCAATGACAAGCTCGGCATCATTATCAAGCTCGTATCCAAATCGAACTACGGGGAGAGGCGAAATTATCGAGCCTAAGATGCATAGACCAACCGATACCGACCCCGAATCGATACCAGACTCCGAGTCAGAATCAAGCTCGAGTCAAGATCGAGAGCTCGAGTCCATATCGAATTCACGGACAAGAGTCGTTGCAATCCCACTAGAGGAGAGAATCCTGACAGGAATTATGGAAAAGCTGATTTATCATGGTTCTCCCGTTATGTATTTTTAATTATATCTAAAAGTAGGACCCTCCACTATAAAGAGGATGACTACATTTCTGTAAATACACAGTTCTTTGCTTATATTGTAAGTTCAAGCACCATACACTCCTATATTGAGGAGATATTTTTTTAAGTTTATAAATTGATTCATCTTGCTTAGTTCTAAAAATCATCTTCTTTCCAACCTTGTTTATTTTGCATTCTTTGCAATCCGTATTTGATATTTCTATTTATCCTTACAATTTGTATTAAGTTATATCACATATCGTTAGAACTACGTTCAAATTTAACTTTATCCGTTTTTCGGGTAAATAAAATCTTTATATCAATTAAATCGAAGATAAACAATCTTTTTTATGAAGACGATTAATATGTAAAGGTTGGAATTCGTGTCATTTAAATCTGAAGCATATTTCCAAATCCCCTCACTCAAAATTGTGATGTCAACAAATTTGCAATAAAAACATTAAAGGAAAGGAAAGTACAGATTGTACTATTTTGATGCATTGTGGACACAGGCTCAATAATAATGACATTATGCCACGATATTGGATGACAACCGATCATGTAATAGACTACACTAGATATAAGATGAAGTGACATTTCCATATATATAGGGGTTGCACAATACATTATATACACACCTTTGTTCATTAATTAGGAACGTATATCTTATAACATTATCACAACATAATTTAATTAATTAAGCTGTAGTTACATGCGATACTACGTACTTTTATAATCTATAACTAGTGATGAATGTAATAAATTAATTAATTAAAGTGGAGTGGGATTTACTGTCTCGCGTTTGTGCCTCGGATATTGAGCTCTAGGGATTCCCTCGTATCTATCTAGCTAAGACTACAACTACTACTATCTGTCTGTGTTCATCTAAATTTAAACAAAGAATGTATAGTTACATTACTTAGTGATGTTGGGTTTCTGGCTTTTTACTTTATTCAACTACTAGAGAATATTTTGTTTCTTTCTTGAAACTCTCGAGATTCATCTATCATATGCTGCTTGCTTTACTTCTCTGTCCTCTTCTTATACTAAGAATGTCTTTCCATATATTTTAATCTTTCTCTTTCCTAAAATTATTTAACAAATAGACAAGTTTATTCAAGACCAAACCCTTCACGTGAAATTAGCAATAAAGAATGATTTACAAAAAAAATTGTTTGTTTAATTAATTCTTTCTTTTTCTTTCTCTAAATATTTGTTCAAACCGTCAACAAAAGAAGACTCACGTCGCCACCTAGCTTTGTCTGCTTACTCTTTGTTTCGAAGAGATTCCTTTTAGAAGAGAAGATCAAAGAAGAAAGCAAGAAAAAAAAAATATGCTAGGAGACTGTGAGAAGATGGTACTCATCCCTTCTTCCACTACTAATGAATGGCCACAGGTTTTTTCCTTTCTCTTTCTCAATTATTAGACTAAAAACCCCATGACCCCATCTTTGTCTTTTAGCTTTTGGAAGAGAATATCTTTTTTTACTTCTGTTGTTATTTTTACTCTAAACCTACCACTCATCTATTCTTCTTTGATTTCTCTTTCTCTCTTTCGTAGCAAAATAATCAGACAGATGAGAAAACATTGATGATGTCCTCAAATGGTGGTAGTGATATGGAGAAACCAATTCAAGATCCACAGCAGCAACATCAACAACAACCGCCGCTTAAATGTCCTCGTTGTGATTCATCAAATACTAAGTTTTGTTACTACAATAATTACAGTTTGTCTCAGCCAAGACACTTTTGCAAGGCTTGTAAAAGGTATTGGACTAGAGGAGGAACCTTAAGAAATGTTCCAGTGGGAGGTGGCTGTAGGAAAAACAAGAGAATCAAGAGACCATCAGCTTCTTCATCTTCTACTCATGATATAACTATTACTTCATCTTCAGCTCTAAATAATAATATTTCAGCTCCAAACCCTAGCCATCATCATCAGATTCACGGATCTCATAATATTGATCTATCTTCTACAACCTCATCAAATCATCTTAATCCTTTATTTTATGGGTTAACCACTGAGCGTTCTGATCTCAATAACAATCCATTTGCAAGGCTTTTCAGTTCTAGGGTTTCGAGTGCAACAGATGAGGGACAAGTGTATTCTCTAACGGACAGTATCCCTGGATTGGATCGTCGTCTGGGGCTAGGGTTTTCTTCTTCTTTAGGGCTCATGGCTGAGAATAATTATGGGCATGGATTCAATTCCATTAAGCAAATCCAAGATGTTATGACTAATTCTAATGCCACTAATTCAAGTTCACTTCTTTCGAGCTACCCCATGTTTGGATCTTCATCAACTTCAAGCTCAACTTCAACTATGGCTTCCCTCATAGCTTCAAGCCTTCAGCGACAGAAGTTCATCTCCAACGGTAACAATTTTCATGGCTCGGCTCCTTTTGAGGATTTGCAAATGTCAGGGAATAATAATAATAATAATAATGTTGAAAGTGGAAATGGGATGACAATGTTGAAAGAAGAGAAAATGGAAAGTGGTGGTCAGAACAGGCTGAACTGGAATAATCTTTCTAACCATCAGAATCATCAGATTCATGAACAAATAATGAATACCTCTGATCCTTCACTTTCTTGGAATGGTGCTTGGCTTGATCCTTCTAATATGGGGTCTAATTCAGTCCCTTCTCTCATCTAGGACAAGAGCATTTGTCTCTTTTTTTTCTTTTTTCTTTTATCTTGATCTCCCTCTCCTTTTTATTAACATGTGTCTTTCGTAGCTAGGTAGGTACTTTTTAGCTATCTTGTTCGGATCCTTCAAGAATATCGTCGAACATGTTTCGAAACCTTAGAAAATGCATTGACGAAATTTTTAGAGTATCCGAACAGCATAGCTTTTTGTTTGTCTTATTTTTCTCCTTCTACTAAAATGTCAAGACTGTAGAAAAAAGAGAACAACATGACTTCATATTGATGGGAGGAGTTGGATCGGAGTGATCATGTCAGCTGCAAGAATATTTCAGCCTGCTATTTTTACAGTCAAAGGGTTGAAAGAAATCTCTCATTTTGCGCTGAGAGGAACCTCGGATCCCTTTCATCTCGTCAAATCAAGTTTACTTAATTATATATGAAGACAAATTTCAGAGTTGACGAAGAAGCTGAAGTTGAGGAACCTGAGTACCATTTCTAATTCCAGTGAGTGAATTTTAATTTTAATGTTAATCTTATGCTGTATGTATATAGATGCATGACATTGCGATTTTTCTTGATGTATTTTTCAGAATGTGTATTTGGTTTTGGGTGGGGGTTACAATGTTGGAGTTCTCGTACAAGAGGAACCAATGATAAATTTTTTATTTTTCTTTTTTCCATTTTACTGGAAAGAATTTCCTCCTTGTAGTTTAGGGGAAAATGGTTGGGTATATTTGGGTATAGAAGAGAGGGAGAGACGTTGTTGTTTTAATATGATTATCATGTTATTAAGTTGGCATTGCCATTTTCTTGCTTATTTCGTTCATCATTTTTGTTTACGACTTTCACATACTAGCACTCTTGATTTCCTATGTGAATTTGACTCAAATGCATAATAATTTACACAGAAAAAGCGGTTTAATTTGTTGCGAAAGGACACATTGATTTGATTTAACCATTGATTTCACAGTGGCACTGCACATAATTTTCGGGGTGAATTGATTTTCTTTAACTTTAAAATAATTTAAAATAATTGTTTACATATTTAAAAGTGGGAAGCATGCTCATGTTGATTCAATATTTGTGTGGGGATATTCTTCTTTACCTGACAATTTGCTTTTCCCCTCCAAGCTTCAAACAAGACATACCACATTCTAAAAGCTTGTTCAGAAGAAATAAATAAATAAATAAAAAACTTGTTATGTCACGTTTTTCAACTTTTATCCTATGACATTGTACCAGCCCACTCATCTTATCCCTATCACATTAGTGTAATTAGCAGAAATTTGCGTGAGTAGTATTTAGCGACCTGTTACCATTCGACTTGTATATAATTTTATTTGAAATTGGGGGCATTGAGGGATTAAGGTTTTATTTTTTATTTCAAAATGATGTTTATTTTGTAATTGTTTTTGTAGACTATCTCCAAATGCGTATTTTTAAAGAAAAATATATTATCCACGTATATGACTATATGTATGTATACATATAAATTTCCATATTCAACGAATGACACTATTCATCGTGGCTCGAGCATCAATTATAGTATCTATAGTTTGATTATCAACTGTGACAAATCTAATACATGAACAAATCAATACGTTTTAATTTTTGCAACTAAAGATCTATACTAGAATGCGTGGTCTACATACTGTTACCTTTTCTTTTGGTAAAAAAGACATACATATATACCGTCATTCTTGATACAAAAACATTCGGACTTTTTTATGGAAAAGAAAGTATGTGAAGCTCTAATTTTAAGTGTTTTTCCTTTATATAATTAACCAATAAGTAAAGAAGATCCGATTGATCAATAATGTGTAGAGAAGTTTACTAAACACTGCTTTATGATTTTTTGGTCACTAAATTTCTCCTTACAGAGAAAAAAAAAGGTGGTTGAGGTGGAAAGAGATACTTTAATAAGCTTTTTAAACCAAAATTTGAAATCAAGGCCTCCTTGTCAAGATGAATATAATATTAGTGTACAAGTTCTATATTTTGATAGTGTAAAATATATTTAATGATTATACAAACTTTTTTTTTTTTGCATCTCCAGTGGGTAAACTTAAAAACTTAATAGTTTTACATATTGGAAACCTATAGCCTTTCGCAGCTTTCCCTTTTAGTACTTACTCCACTGTGTATGTCGTGATGGAATGTTTTGGTGGTATAATTTGTCTTATAATAACATCCACTAGTGAGGTACGGGGAGGGTAGTTTGTACGCAGACCTTACCTCTACTCTGGGATAGAGAGGCTGTTTCCGATAGACGAGGCCCTCGGCTCCCTCCCTCCAAAAACTCCTCACCTTGCTCTTGGGGTGACTCAAACTCACAACCTCTTAGTTATAAGTGGAGAGATGCTCACCACACCAGAGCAACCATTCTTATCTTGTCCGGTAATACTTTTCATTAAAACATGAGTCAAAGACAGACATTACAAACCTGGTACTACTAATTAAGTACTAGTTGTACCATGCCAGTTCAAATGTGTCATCATTTGACTGTTGACTGAAATGCTTCAGTTTATATTCAGTTCTGATTTTTGCCTCCGTTAGGTGATGGACTTTTTGCTTATCCCTATTTTTTTTTTCCAGCTCCACTAACATAGAATCTAGTCAAATTGAAAATTTCCAAAGTAGACTACAATTTCTATATTTTTTTTTTTTGTCTATTGAAACCATTATCATCGATCAAATTTGATGAACCTCAGCAACGTAATTTTGACGGAACGCTTCATAGTCAAATTGACTATTCATTTCACAAGGAAAAAAAAATTATTTTTTATGCTTTCAATTTTTATAAACCGGAGTTGAGGGCTAGCACACTTGGTGAACGGGCGCCTTCGAAGATAAGATTGAAGGTTTAACCTCCATCAACGTTATCAGGAGCGGAGTTAGAGTGTCGGAAACGGGTTCGGTCGAACCCAATATCTTTGGTTCGAACCTTGTATTTGTCTTAAAAAATCCATTGAATATGTATAAATTATTAATTTGAAACCCAATGACTTAAAACGATTCGAATCCTAAACCCATAAATTTGAAAATCTGGCTACTACTCTAAGCGTAACATCCTCTTTCTTCCCCTCTCCCTGATGTAATAAAAAAAAATTTAAAAGTTATCACAAACCAATAATGCTACATGCATAGTAATTTTTTTGGTGTTTTTTTATAGTTTCTTTTGGTGGTGGTAGAGGCTTGTCGGTGAAGGGAAAGGAAAGAGAAGATCAGGTGATAATTAAAGGCTTCCAGATATTTATTTCTCCACTGATTCATTTTCATTGTCTCGCAAAATTTTATATTTTTTTTGCTCCAAAAAGTTATGGTAAGTATTAAAGTTGATAGATTTTTACTGGTATTGGAATTGAATGGAAAAAACAAGACAAAACGAAACAGAAAAGGATAAAGGAGAAACAAAGATCTGAAGAAATACAAGTGCAGATCTCAAAATTTTCAAAGCAGAAATGAGAGAATCACTACTTGGACGACCCAGAGGGCGCCTGTACCGGCGGCGATGCCTCATATGGCGGCAGCCTGGATATCGGTGGATTGGGGACGGAGTTTGGGGCTGAGGAACTTGAAGAGTCCGTTACCTTTATTTTCATTGTATTCAATGTATCTCGCTGTATTCCATGTATTTCATTGTATTAACAAATTTAGTTTTTTCTACTTTTTCAATATATTCACTGTATTTAAATGTATTAAATTTAATTATATAATTTTAAAGCTTCACTTTGTTTCACTGTTTTGTCCAGCAGTATATATTCAGCAATATGTATTCAATGTATTGTAGAATGTATTCATATATAATTTTAATTAATATAATTTATGTATTCAGATGTAAATATGTATTCAAATATATCTACAGTATGTATTCATATGTTTTTGCACTATAGATGACCTGCTATACTTCATGTATTCAATTTATTGTATGTATTTAACTGTATTCAATGTAATTATATAATTTCAATATATAAATCTATTTGTAAAAGATACCATTAAAAATATTTTAGTAAAGATACCACTAAAAAAAGAAAGGATGGATTGAATCTCTGAAGATTGCTCTGTTTTTGAGGTATTTTTCGGCTGAGAATCTTTTCTATAACTGAAAATATAATTTTTGCGTGTTATAATTGAGTTTGTTGAGTTATATTAGGAGTCTATCGCGTTAATTGATTCACTTACCGTTTTTAAACAGCTGAAACACTTACCGTTTTTAAACAGCTGAAGACCTTTTTTTCGCAAATTTCCATTACTGTATTCACGAATACAGCTCGCGAATACATATGAATACAGTCTATGTTTAGCTGGACTTCCTTGTTTTCCGCCGAATTTTGCTAATGTATTCGTGAATACAATAGCTTGAATACATCGAATACACTCTATAACAAGTGAAAACATAATTATAGGAAGTAATTAAGTAAATGGTAGCTATAGCAAGTTAATAGCAAGTTAATAGCAAGTTTATGAAAATCTCTCTTTTTAAGATACCAACTCTACCGCTAACTTCAAACTTCAAAAATTTCATTAAAATCTTTTTGCTTTGATATTATTATTATTATTATTATTATTTATATTGTTTAGAAAAATATTTAGCAGAAAAAGAAATTTAAGCAAAGAAGGTCATAATGGGCTTTGTGCTCTATGATACCGACAACGAACTTTTAAATATGGGCCTTACACCATGTCTCGTCAGTCGTGGAATAAAGCCCAGAAACTATTCTACTCTTTTGGTAAAACCAACATTGTATACCTTTTTTCCTTTCTTTTTACGAAAAAACCATACGTAATTTTCAATTCTTCTACATTGACCTCTAGCTTTCAGATTCTCAGATATGAACCTCCACGATAAATTTAATCTTCAATTGCAGTGACTAAAAATCGATCTAAATTACTTTTTGGTGAAAGTGAAAAATGATTAGCTTAGTATCGGAAACTACATAACAAGTACAATAAAACACAATGTTTTTAAAATAAAGAATAAGATCTGAAAGGTATAACTAGAGTTATTTTTGACGCTCAGATTATTGAATAGGTGATTTAATTTACGAAACATATAACACTGATGTTTTACAGATTATAATGTTTTCTTAGAAATTGTAGTGTCCAGGACATTGCATGTACTATAATTAGTCCATCAGTTATTTGCTACTTCATACAAATATAAGTATCGAGTAATTACTATTTACTAAATTTTAGTCAAATAGAAAGAATTCAACTAATCTTGTCTCCTTTGGGAACTAATGCATGCAAGTATTAATTCTCAACGTTGTTACTCTAACTCTTCGATCGATTGTAAAAGGGGCATGAATTATAAGTTATGAAATCTTCTATGACAAGTCAAGAATGTTGGTTCGTTTGATATTTGTCTGCATATCAACCATTCTACCTAATTAATTAAATTAAACATTACACAACATTTTAAACTTTAGGCAAAGATAATGAGAAACTTCCAAATGTTCAAAACTACTAACATTGTCCTGTTATTGCTGACTGTTTCCGCGGCGACTCAAAGTTCCTACCTGGATTAACAGTGATAGAAATATGAAAAAAGTATGTGAAATAAGTAATTAATATTCACATTAGAAAAAGATCAGCTGAAGATTTAAATATTCAGATAATCAAGAAAGGACTAGCTGAGGAATTAAATTGGAAGAAAACAAAAAGAATCTGAGGTTAGAATGTACAAAAAATTCCAAGGTATTATAGTCATTAGCTTAAATGTAAATTAAGATTAAAGCAAAGCCAATGATATGGAGGCCAGGAAGTCCGAGAAAACCAAAGATTCTGAGTGAACAAAATTCCAAAAAGAAGTTGTGG